CTCCGAGGAGGAAGAGGAGATGACGAGGGACTCCTAGCCCCCGAAGAAACGTGCCATCTACGTCATCTTTGGGGGGCCCGAGGGAAGGGACTCACCAGCCGAGCAGAAGAAATAGACAAGCAGCTTGTACGTGGGGGAGGTCACACGAACTCCCCACGAGAAGAAACCGAAGAGGGAGCCCATCACGTTCACCGATGCCGACCTGCCAGACGGGCCCCTCCCTCACCGAGACGCCCTGGTGGTCAAGGTAGACATCAACAACGTGGTGGTGCACCGAGTGCTCATAGACACGGGTAGCTCGGTGAACATCATGTACTACGACACTTTCACCCAGTTGAGACTCTCAAGAGGGCGACTGGAGCAAGTACGGACCCCCCTGTCCGGGTTCGCGGGGGACTCAATTGAGATGGAGGGGTCGATCAATTTGGAGGTGGAGATAGGCACCCCACCTCACACCCGGAGGTGGGAGGTCGAGTTCGTAGTCATCAAAAGCAGCTGCGCCCACAACATCATACTCGGCCGACCCGCCCTTGAAGACCTCAGGTGCGTGATTTCCATGGAGCACCTGTGCCTCAAGTTTTCGACACCGACCGGGGTCGGGGTCGCCCGGGGGGACCAAATGGTGGGCCACAGTTGCTACTTGAAGGCGTGCCGCAAAATTGGTCAGAAGGACCTCCAGGTCCACACCATTGCCGAGAAGGCATTACTATTCTAGGAGGAGGACCATTCCCCTCCCCCAATAATATCTTAGTGGACAGCAATAAGCGGAATAATTTTCCTTGTTACAAAACTTGTTATGAGGTGGACCTTTGTTACTAAGCTTGGGTTTCATTTATTTTTTCCTTTAAAAAAAAAAAAAAAAAAAAAAAAAAAAAAAAAAACACCACCACGTAAAAGGAGGGGGAACGAGTGCTCACCCGATTTCCCCCCGCGGACCCTAAGGGGGCACGAGGTCCAACCTCGCGTACCAACCCCGACGGAGGACGCACCCTAAGGGGGCAGGAGGTCCGACCTCGCGTACCAACCCCGACGGAAGAGCCCGGTAGCATAGTCCGGAAGGACTAAGCCCGAGTGGCTAGAGCGCACCCTAAGGGGGCACGAGGTCCAACCTCGCGTACCAACCCTGACGGAGGAGCCCGGGGTCTGGGTCCAACAGGACTTGGCTCGAGCGGTTAAGCGCACCCTAAGGGGGGACGAGGTCCAACCTCGCGTACCAACCCCGACGGAAGAGCCCGGTGGCATAGTCCGAAAGGACTAAGCCCGAGCGGCTAGAGCGCACCCTAAGGGGGCACGAGGTCCAACCTCGCGTACCAACCCCGATGGAAGAGCCCGGTAGCGCAGTCCGGAAGGGCTTAGCTCGAGCGGCTGACGTACCCTAAGGGGGCACGAGGTCCGACCTCGCGGACCAACCCCGACGGGAGAGCCCGGTGGCGTATTCTCATGGGACTATGCTAAGGAGGCTAATACAAGGCCAAAAAAAAAAAAAAAAAAAAAAAAAGGGCCTAGCGCACCCCGGCACAACACCGGGGTGCACCATGGCACCACCTCGGCAACATGCCAGGGTGCATCGAGGCGGACCTCAGCAGTATGTCCACCTCCCGAAGGCAAGAGCATAAAGTATTCCCACCTCCCGGAGGCAAGAGCATAAAGTGTGCCCACCTCCCGGAGGCAAGAGCATAGAGTATGTCCACCTCCTGGAGGCAAGAGCATAAGGTGTACCCACCTCCCGGAAGCAAGAGCATAAAGTGTGCCCGCCTCCCGGAGGCAAGAGAATAGAGTATGACCACCTCCGGAGGCAAGAGCATATAATATGACCACCTCCCGGAGGCAAGAGCATAAGGTGTGCCCACCTCCCGGAAGCAAGAGCATAAGGTGTGCCCACCTCCCGGAAGCAAGAGCATAGAGTATGCCCACCTCCCTGATGCAAGAGAATAAGGTGTGCCCACCTCCCGGAGGCAAGAACATAAAATGTGCCCACCTCCCGAGGAGGAACATAAAATGTGCCCACCTCCCAGAGGGGAAGCATAAATTATGCCCACCTCCGAGGGGGGCGGCCTGTCGGAGGAAAGTGCGAAGGGTGAAAAAGAGAGCTTTCCTCCAAGAGACGGGAGTATAGGTCACCCACATCGATAGTCGCCGGCACGTTAGAGGAGACCAAGCTGCGAAGTAGCTCCCGTGAGCGGGCGAGGTCGTCCAAGTTTCAGGCCCGGGACATACTCGCCAGGAGGTCAGGCCAGAGCATGTTTACTCTCTTTCGTTGTCGACGTATCACAACGAAGAGAGTGGGGGACTCATGATGGATATATTACGATCGGAGCAAGACTCGAAGCCCCGGCCCACAGGGCCTCGGCCTTATGGGCATCGACCAACGAGGCCTCGGCCTTGGGTCCTCTGCCATCATTCAGACGACCCAGCCTAGAGAAGTCGTCTGGGAGAGGTCGTCCGTGGAGAGGTCGTCCGGGAGAGGTCGTCTGTCGAGAGGTCGTCCGTGGAGAGGTCGTCCGTGGAGAGGTCGTCCGTGGAGAGGCCGTCCGCGGAGAGGTCGTCCGCGGAGAGGTCGTCCTGGAGAGATCGGCCATGAACGAGGCCGACCTAGATCCGGTCAAAGAGGCGCGGTCAACGCGGATCTAACCACCCCCCACCTTAGGGGGTGGGGGTTGTATAAAACCCCCCACCTTGTCCTTTTAGGACATCTAACATTTATTCTACACACTTTGTCCTAAAATACTATTGTAATAGCCAATTCTACGGCATTTAATATAATAGACGGTCTCACGGCCTTTACGACATCGTTTCATTTATTTATTCATTATCTATATTGCGTTCTTATCCGGGTTTAATAATTTGGGCCACCCCGGGTTAATTAAATCCATCAATATCCTAAGACCAATCTCAATTCACAGTTCTCCTCCTCATCCTACCTTAATTTTATGAGGAGAACTACGAACTGGGATACATCTTAGGACTTAAATCTCTTTATTAATTCTGAAATTGTGATCTTAATTTGAAAAAAATGTAAATACTCTTAATAATTTCATATTTCGACATGTATTAAACGAAGGGGTGACCAACATTATGAATTTTGACACTAAAATAATAATCGTGGATGAAAATTGGTACTAAAACAATAATCATGAATGAAAATTGGTAAGAATTAAACATATGAACCAAAACTGTCATTTTACTAATACTCGTAAGACCAAAATTGGTTTTTGCTCTTTTATTTTTCCGTTTCCCCTCTTTTGTTGATGGCCATTCAAAAAACCTTTGCAAAATTTCTAACTAATAATCTTTCTCATACCCAGGGTTTTGCTGCTAGGTGGATAAGACAGCTGGCCTGGAGATTTAAGGCTGCTCCATTCTCAAAACCTAAGATCGAACCCTTGATTTTTGATTAAGGATAGATGAGTACTTTCCACTCAACCACATCCTCCAGATTTCCTATTCTCTCTTTATTTTTTCATAAGTTGGCAGTTTATATCTCTCAACAAGAGAGCCAATAAAATCTATCACTTTTGTATTGCACGCGTGGAGCTTGTTAATTAATATAGAGACAAATTTGTAATTTATAATAATAAAATATTAAAGCTAAGGCTCTATAAATAGGTCAATGAATCAAAATCATTGAAATTAGCACGATTGGCACCTCATAGAAAGATAGACTAAGGTTTAGCACCGACTTAGTTCAGTAGATAATATTTGAGAAAAAAGATCAAGGTTTGAACTTTGGTAGCGGTAATATAGGGATTATATTTAAAGTGAACAAATTCTTTGTGCGCATCAACATTTGGCTCTATTTATTGAGTCATTAAGTTGCCGTAATTTACATTCTTCTAAATGCTATGTTAGGTCGGGGCGTAGAGAGTCTTTGTTGGTGAGGATTCGACCTTTTGAGAGAAGAAGAAGGTAAACCAAGTTCATTTATAAAAAAATAAAAATAAATTAAAGGGTCAATGAAGTTTACGTCAATAATTGAGGAATTTCATATAAATATAGGGATAAAAATGCAATTCTTTTTGTTTGTTGACTAGTCAATTACCTGTAGATTTTTCTATTTATTTAATTATTTTAAAAATGAGTCAACATCCCTACCGACCCTACGTAACTTCTCGTGTCTTTTCTCATATAATAAAAAAGAAATTATGTCCTCTTTATTTAAATGACTGGGCAAAATTTGAGAGGAAAAAAATGTAATCCAAATTTATGATTCAACAAAGATATCTTATAGCGTATATGAGATTCTTTCTCAAGCTATTGGAGAATGGTCAAACAACGTAACTACAACTACTTCCTCTCTCCAATTTTATTGATGAAAGAAATCTGCAGATTATTAATTTCTTGTAAATGCTGACAAATATGCAAATTTCCTATCCCTGTGAATATCAAAGTTGGATGGTTTCTCAAGCTATTAAGCAAGCCACGTGTTGACACATCAGGTAACTGCCAACTAAAAGCCACGCTGAGATTTCTAGTTTTCATTATTATTATTATTATTATTATTATTATTATTATTATTATTAGAGATAAGGGTCAAATAAGCCATCAAACTATACTAGAATGTGCAATTAAACCCTTGAACTTTAAAAAGCTCCAATTAGATCTTTGAACTCACAAAAATTGAGCAACTAACACTATTTGTAGGTTGCCTTCAGGTTACTGGTCAATAACTTGATGATTAAATTTTTAAGCTGATTTAGCTAGGTGATGTGGCTTTCACATATTTTTTAAAAAAATTGATATATTATATTAAACTTAATTTGTAATTAATAATAATCATTAATTAAAAAAAAAATCTTCTAAATTTTATTGGCTAGTGTTCTCCGGAGTTTCAATGGCGATGACGGCAGTGGACCCTGCGCCGCAGTGGAGACTTTTGAGCTCACACCGGCAGTTGGAGCGCGCTCCGCCGGTAGACAAGTTAGTGATTTCTCGATTCATTTTAGAGAAGCTCCGAGACATCGTTTCCTGCCACTGCACGTAGATTCGTCGTCGCGCTCAAGCTCCCCTTTCACTATCTAATGCATTTGATCATTGCATTTCACGGCAACCTGAGAAGCATTGAAGCCACAAAGATCATCAAAAAGCTACAAGCTCACAAAATTTCAACTCATCTCTAACTTCGCGAAAAAACTCACATGTAAGTAGTCGTGGCCGTCATACACGCCAAAGAAATGCAAGTCGTTTGAATTCCCATAGGTTTTCCGGCTAAAAAACGGATTAATCGCCACCGCATCTTCTATCTCTTTTCTCCTCCCACAAACAGACATTATACTGAATCTCGGCTCATCCGAAACACCACCAGAAACCACAGATTTCGGACTTCCGGAAATTTTGTTCTTCACTACCTTTTTCTCACTCCCCGACTTTTCACTTTCCCCTTCCGCATAAACCGGCGAAACCTCAACCCGTTTCCTCTTCTGTCCATTTTCTGACGACGGAGTGACGGTGACATCCGCCACTACGAACCTAAACTGATGAATTTCCACCCGTCGCCGTCTAGCCCCCCGGAGTTGGGCCCAACTGGAGTACTAGTCTCCGTTTCATCTCCAAATTTCGTAGCCATTAATAGAACAAACAATAAATTCAACCAAATAAATTCTTTCCAGAAGAAGGCATCGACGTCGGCAAGTAAATAAAGCAGCGGAAACTGGCAAGTAGGCGGCGGTACTGGAGACAATGGTGGCTGAAATGGAAAATATTTTTTATAATAAAAAATAAAAATAAAAATAAAAAATATGACATGACACTAACTTGTAAAGAACTTGTAAAAACAGGTAAAAAGGGATTAATTGCTCAATTTTTGTGAGTTCAAGGATCTAATTGGAGCTTTTTAAAGTTCAAGGGTTTAATTGCATATTTCGGTATAGTTTGATGGCTTATTTGACCTTTATCCCATTATTATTATTATTATTATTGATAGAAATATTTTTGTAATAAAGTTTTGATGAGCCAAATGTACTTTAGATCCCCTTAGAATTTAGGACTTTATTACAAGCATCATAATTCAGAATATAAGTCACAAAGCAAAGGAAAGACTATACTACTACATGAAAGAACAAAATTAATTTGGAAAATTAATTTTGGTCCTACGAGTATTCATCTGGAAGACAAGCATTTAGTTTAAATGTTACAATATATGACCGGATGAGCCTCACGGCGAAATGGTAGAAGTCCTTGCATACATATGAGCACAATGTCTCAAAGGAGCACAATGTGACCAAGTCAAACAAGCGAGATCTGATTTTGACAAGCAAGAAAGGCAAAACAAGCTAAGCACAATGTGTCTTTTAAGAAGCAAAATGTGACAAATAAGAAAGATGATCAGAATATTAAATAAATTCGAATGAATTTATTTTGGTTCATCTCACATGTCACAAGAGTCCAAATTGCATGAAGATATGATCAGACCGGTGGAAAATTTATGAAGACATGGATAAAGACCTTATCCTAGAAATAAATCATGTCATAAGGATTTATTGCCAAGTGACGTTAGAAATTCAAAATTGGCAAAGATAATAATATTTTAGAAACAACTTGAAAATCAAGTTGAGATCAAATATTATCTTGTAAGGCAAGTTGACAATCAAATCAAATTGAAGACCTACTATTGTCAACAATATCAGGCTACAAAATTCAAATTTCAAATATCAAATTATCTCACTCCAACGGATATATTTGATTATCTATAAAAAGGTCATGAAGACTTGAAGAAGAAGGAGGAGTGCGAAAAAGAGACAAGCAAAGCGATCTATACGAGCAAAATTCTCTTAAGTCTAAATATTCTTGAGATATCTAGTAGAGAGACTTAGTCTGAATAGTCTCAAAAATAGTTGGAGAGAGATACAATTACCGTCATATTTGTAATTGTAAAAAAGAGTATAGATGTGTGCAAAATACTCTAGAGAGTGTAGCTGTGTGCAAAACACTCGTAGTTGCTAAGTGTATCTGTGTGCAACACACTTAGTTGGCGTTTGAGTATAGCTGTGTGTGAAGTACTCAGATTTGAGTGTAGTTGTGTGCAAGACACTCGGAGTTGGGTGTAGCTGTGTGCAAGACATCCGAAGAAGTGCTTGTGCAGCACTTATTCACTATTGTAACTGTGCGTGGAAAATAGTGAATTACTCCTAGACGCGAAAGGAGTAAAGTGGACTAGGAAGATTATGCCACTTCCGAACCACTAGACAGATCTCAAAAATCAAGATGATGAAAAGAGATATGGCTCTTGCCCAGAATCTATTATTTTCTCTAGAAAAATTTGATGATTGAAAAATTCGTATGCAGGTACATTTATCCGCATTACAAGATGAAATGTGGGAAGTAATCACAAATGGTCCTATTGAAATCTTACAAGTGAACACCGCATCCGTTCAAACAAGTGACACTCCACAATACATTCCAAAGCGACTTATATAAATGCACGCAACCAACTAATAAAATTACAAAAACACCCCACTTACCAAACGCGAAATAAGCCTTCCTTAATTCAGACGTTGTGCTGCTGCCGTTAGATTAAACACATTGAATGACATAGATAATGCCACAGTGTCGTACCTAATGTCTTAACCGCATATGAGCTCACACACACACACACACACACACACACACACACACACATATATGGAACTATGGAACTAACTCCTCCTCCTCCTCCTCCTCCTTCTCCTCCTCCTCCTCCTCCCCATTCTCATAATCATCATCATCATCATCATTATTATTATCATCTTTATCTTTGTTGTAGAAATGTACAAATGATATATGGGATGATTGTATTAAATGAAATAAAAACAAATTTGAGAAATGAAAAACTAGAAGAATAGAGAATGAAAATTAGGAAACTAGAGAAATGGAGAAGGAAAACTGGAGAAATGGAAAACTGGAAATGAAAAAATAGAGAAGTGAAGTAAACGACCCCATAATGTTTTTTTCCAAATTCGAATTCTATAATCCAAGGAAACCAGTAGCGTAGCCGGAGCGTGAGGTCGAAAGTAAGTCCTGGGCACCCAGTAGGCCGATCGTGTCAGTTGCGATTACTTTGATCTATTTGTGGATGTAAGCCTGGAAAATGACATATCTCTTCTCCAACCAGCGCGACGGGATCACTAATCGGATTAGGGAAGGTTTTTACCTTTCGGTCTCCACGTTAAAGTTATTGTCTCTATTTATGTTTTGGATTTTATTTCTCTTTCAATCAGTTATGTTGGCCCGCTGAGTGACTACTGCGAGTCACGAAACCAACACATGTGTCAATATAATTCCTCCAAAATGAGTCCAATATAAATTCGAGTCCGAAGAGTACTATAACTCATTACATCATTCCCATTTGAATTAACTTTTTTTAAAAAAATTCTTTAATTTAAAAGTTTTAGTACATATGCTTTCAATTTTTACTCCCTGATATTTCAAATAATGAGAAAATATTTTTATCAAGAGAAGTATTTATATTAAAATTTTGGGAATAGAAGTAAAAAATTAAAATATAAAATAGAATCCACGTAATATTTTTCTTAATTTGATATGGTTTGTCGCATGATTGTGATTGATGCATATAGGTAATAATAATATCAGGGAAGAAATATTGTCCATGATTCTTGACCAATTCCTTATTATAATTATTTTGACGGATTCCTTATTTATATTATTTAAAATTGAGAGAGTTAGGTAACATTTAATTTTAGATTATTTATGACGATGTAGAAGACTTGAAAATAATTTTGGAGGAAGAAAATAATGATTTTGAATTAAACAGTCGTGAAAATAAACATTATTGACCTCAAGTTTTGTTCTAGAGGATTGATCGACTATGATGAGAACCCTTCATATTTACATAACAATTTAGGACGATCTGTTTGGTTCATTGGTTTACACACTAGGATTGAGAATCAAAATCATAGTTAGTGCTCGGTTGACAATTTTTTAAAACAAAACTATTGGATTTGATTACACCTTCAAATAAAAACATCATCCCCTCCTACCAAAAAAAAAAAAAAAAAAAAAAAAAAACATCCCCTAATTAAAAAAGGTATCATTCCATCTCATTGGTAATATGATTTTTAATTTTGAATTAGTGTTTAGATTTTTGTTTTGATTTTTTTTTTTTTTTTTTTTTTTTTTTTTTTTTTGCATATTGGTGCTTTGGATGTCATTATATTATGATCAATTGCCTTGATTTTTGATTATAGGGTCATACAAAATAACCAAACATACAAAATAGTTTCACAAAAACACATATCATTACCAAGTATTTGATTCCAATTCCGATTCCGATTTTCATCTGCGAATGAAACACCCTAGCGTTTGGTTGGATGTAATTTAGTTGTAATTGAATTGTAATTCAATGAAAACCTCAATTATAGTGTTTGGTTGAAATGAATTGCAATTCCCTCCTTTTGTTGAATTGCAATTCATGGGGTACTCCATGAATTACAATTCAATACAATGCTTGGGAAAAGGAAGAAATGGAGGAAATGACAAAAATACTATACCCTTGTTGATTGTTATTATTACCACACAAGGATATTTTAGTCTTTATACTAGTTTTTCCTTCTCATCTCCAATAATTCTACATAAAGTTCATATACTTTCTCAACCTACTGAAACACAAAGAACCAATAACACCTCCACTGAGGCTCGAATTCACAACTTTCCAAATAGAAGTCCAACCCAGGTACGATTAGACCACATAGTCTTGGTAATTCCTTTCCTTCCTAATTAGTTCATATTGTGGAAGTTTCAAATCATTATTGTGTGGACCATATTTTGTATACTATAAAATAATGTACATTCATAACAAAAATAATGTACATTGTATTCAGAGAAGGTACATTACTTTTGTATTGAGTGTACATTATATTGTATAATGTACGTTCAATACAAAAATAATATACATTTAGTATATTAAAAATGACTTTTTATTATAGTTCATATAATACTGTGTAGACTCTAATTTACCAAAATTAATTAAATTTTCATATCGTGAGTACCATTTTCATACCTTGTAGGACCTTAGAGGATTGCAAAACATCACAGGCTGGCCCGCAAAACATTTCTCCATTTGTTTTAGATGTCCCATCAATTAAATTCCTAAAAAACATTTTCAAGAAATATTTTAAGGAAAATAACTTTATAAGAAAAATTAATTAAAATGCTTGATATTATCTTAAAATTTGTTTCAGGTACATAATTTATATTTAAAATACAAAATTTTATAATACAACACATAAAAATTTACAATATAAAATACATTCACATGCATTAGAGTCCACAATGCATGGTAAACCTTTGTCCATCGTATAAGGATTGATTAAGTACATTGTTGGTTTTAAAAAATTATATAAAAAGTTATTTTGATAGCAGATGAATTTGCTTTCTAAAGGCAGCTCCAACGAACACGGGAAAGCATCATTTTATTTTGTTTTGATGTATTTACATGCTATATACTAAAAACATAACATAACATTTGTATTATTAAAAATAAATTAGATTGAGGAAACCCCAATCAAGTTGTTTGAGTAATTGACTATAATTACAAGATTACAAGTTTGACTCGTAATACTTCTTCGTACAGAATTTAGCGATTTGGATGGGAGATAGTCAAAGGATGTGTTTGTAAGAATATTTAGGACAAAGAGTCAATGAATTGCAATTGGAATAATTCACAATTTCAATGACATAAAAACGACCTGAGTGATCCATTTCAACCTCACCATCAATGGAGCTTTTAAGTGCTACACAAAATGATTTAGAAAGTGGGGAGCAACTTTGCATTATTTAGATCAATATGTCCATTAATATAATGTCAACTAAAATTGCTAATGAATTCTTGTGAACTGGAGATTCAAGTACCATCATTGGACAAAATGTTGATCCAAATCCACTAATATAACCATTGTACAAATACAATATAATATAGATCAACAAATAAAACCAGTGGCCTGGATGATATGGCCACCTACTTGGATTGCTAATGGAATCTTGGGAGCTGGAGATTCAAGGTCAACATCATTGGACAACATATATATATATATATATATATATATATATATATATATATATATATATATATATATATATATATATATTCTGCCAAGTCCACCAACAACCTGCTGGTGCCCATCCACCAACTTGAAATTTACTATTTTATAGGTAAGGGCAAGTAGAACATTTAACAAAATACAAGAAAGATTTCATTGGTAGACATCATGGTACACATCATCAACACAAACTCATATTCATTTTTCCATTTAAATCTTACCCACAACCAAATTTTAGAGTTTTTTTTTAGAGAAGTTTATGAGTTATGAGCCAATTCGAATTGGTTCATCATTTTGGACGGGGAGAGGAAGATGACCTTTCTCCTGAAGGCTCTTTACCGTCTCATACAAGCATTGCTTCACTGGAGTAAACTCCAACCCCAAGTCCTTAAGCTTTTGGTTAGAAAATTTGTATGGTTTCACCCTCGGCTTTATTTCGTCCGAACACCTGCATTTCACACATAAAATCAAACTCAATTATTGCAAGCCGTAACAAACTAACAATACATCAACATATTTTATGTTAATATTAACAAGTGATCAGGCTAAGAGTTAAACAAAAAGTGACAACAAATCCGTTACTTACATTAGGGATGAACTTAATATTAAATCTAATTACGAACTTATTCATCACAAGCTAATGGCAAGTAACAATCATTAAAGATATATGATTAGTTAATACATCATTTTTTTATATAAAAAAAATGGTATTGAAAAAGAATACCAAATTAAAGTTGGGGATGAGTGGGGACCAGAAAAGAAAGTGACTTGTGGTAGGTAAGGTTAATCCAGAACCATGGAATTTTGATAAGCTTAGGAACATTATTTCGTAGGTTGTAGTGTCACTATTTCATTGTCATCAATGTTGAGGCCAACCATATATTGGTAGTCAAAGTTGGTATACCCACAACCATATAATAATATGATATCATGCCACTATATATGAAAAGAAAAATATTGATGGTCCAGTCTATAATTTAGATGAAATTTCATATTTAAATCTATAAGTTTGGCTTGTTAGGTTTAATGATACTATTGTTAATTGTAAATAGAAAATTCTAAAGTAGTGTAATATAAGAATAGCATACAGAACTTACTTGGTGGGGATAGGATACTCGGGAAAGAACTTGGCCAAAATTTCAACCACATCGCCACGGTGAAGAACACTTTCGGCGCAGAGATAGCGGCCAGAAGCGGACGGGGTCTCGAAGAGGAGTATGTGAGCTAGGGCAACATCCTTAACATGCACATAAGCTTGGACTGAATTGGCATAGGTTTTAGCAGAGCCAGTCAAGTACTTAAGGATGTGAAGAACACTTGCATTGATGGTGGGTTGTAGCAATGGCCCTAGCACCAATACTGGGTTGATCACCACCACATCAACTCCCTTCTCCCTAGCCTCTTCCCATGCTGTTTTCTCTGCTACCATCTTCCCATAGCAATACCAATTCTACATATCCAAATATCAAAGCCAATAAGAATCTACTATTCACTAATAATTAATGTATAAATTCTGCTTGACGAAGACAACCCTAATCAAGTTGGTGGGACTGGTAATTTGATAACCACACTATTCTAAGATTAACTCTCATAGGATAGACCTATTGACCTTCTTGGTTTGAGTCGTCAATCAATCATAGACAACTTAGGCTGATTTATCTCTTGTGGTTCTTTATCCACTAAGGTGTAGTTTGAGTCAATCAAAAATAGACAATCTAGATTGATTTACCTCAATTTCGTGATTCTTTATCCGTTAGGGTTATAAAGCAAGTTTACTCAATGCAAACGCTCATGTATGAGATTATTGGTAGGTTAGGTAAAGATTAAAGAATATGATCCACTAGCTATGACCCTACCAACTAAATCCAATAAAAAAACAAAAACATGTTTTAAAATTTTCATACCTTTGTGCTTTTGCAAAAGTCAAGATCACTCCAACAAGTTTCGTCCACAACCTTATCCGGGTCTCTACTGGGGTCCATGTACACCGCACCAATTGAGGAAGTGAATACCACACGCCGGACGCCGGCCTCCGCCGCTGCCGTTATCACGTTCTTCGTCCCTATCACCGCCGGCTCCACCATTTGTTCCTTTAATCATTCCATCCCACACTTTTTAGTTAAGTATACAAAAGCAAAGAAAAGTCTCCATCTTTGATTTTATCAAAAGGAAAACAATTAGGTATTTTTATACGCCAAATTTGTAAATAGATTAAGAAACAATGAGAGAACTATCTACTATAAGGACCAACAATAATTTAACCTTAAATTAATCACGCCCAATATCCAATATTATAGTACTAAAATAGATAAATTAATATATTATGTTATTATCCACCTATTGTTAATTAATCAATTTGCTTAAGCATGAAATCACGAGGATTATTAAGGTTTAATGTTGCGTTTGTTAGTAGACAAGATGGTCATTAGGTAAATCAACAACCACTCCACCAGAAAATAAAAACAAAATAATCTATAGTCTTATCTTCAATTTTTTGGATGACAAAGATGACGCGTTGCCAACTACTTAAAAGGTGTACTAAAGTAAACTTCGTATCCACTCAGGGTTACCCTTGTGAATGAATTTTGTGTGTAATTTCTTCTCTTAAAAGGTTGAATTTTCAACTTCAAAGGATTCCACACCTGATCCGATAGAGTATTTAGGAGAATGTGAATGAATGACTCAGCAGACAGGCCAAATGATTACTTGTCTATTATGGATAGTGACGGCTGTTTTCTCGTCGTCCATAAAATAAATAATTAGAAATGAATAAAGAGGGACGTACTGGATCATCTGTAACGGGTGATGCAGTGTGGAAAACTCCATCACAACCGTTGATAGCTTCACGTAAACTCTGGTAATCAAGAAGGTCTGCTCTTATCAGAGTTAGCCTCTCACTTGCACCTTCAAGCTCCCTCAGATGACAATTCTTTTGATCGTCTGCAAATTGTTTTATTTTAATTTAATTTTATTAATTAAAATTCAAGAAATCAATAATAACCCACACTATTAATCAACCAAAAAAAAAAAAACATAAAAATTATTAAAAACCTACCTGGGTTCCTAACAGTTCCTCTGACTGTGTAGCCTTTCTCCAGTAGGATCTTAACGAGCCATGAGGCGATGAAGCCTCCGGCGCCGGTGACGCACACGACTTGGCCGGAAACGGACGGCATGTTTGGCTTTTTCCGGTGATTTTGTTAGAGAGAAAAAGGCTTAGTGTTTGATGGGTGAGAGATAGTCAGTCAGATAGAGAGGTATTTATGCTGACTCAAATTCCCTCTCATCTTCTTTACCAACTCACCTACCGCAGTTACAAAGTGTTGAAAATTCTCACTACGGCATTAGTACGCCATACATTTCTTTTTTAAGAAAAACAACCAAACGTCAATAAATGCGAAAATAGCATTTTTCAACCTTATGTTTATAAATAATAGCAATTTTAACCCATTGATTGTTGATAACAATATTATTGACCCTTTAATTTTTCATAAAGTGAGTTAAGTGACGCATTTTGGTCCGTCTTGTTAGAATGTGATATTTTTTATGATTTTTTTTTTTCAACATGTAATGTCAATATTAGAGAATGACCAAGGTAGTTCAACGTAGTTCTAGACTAAATTGTTGATTAACAAGTTCTATATGTGCAAACAAAGGTAATGAAATTTAATAGTCTACATTGGCGAGTTACTAATAAAATCGTCAACTTATGAAAAATTAAAGAATCAATAATTGAGGGACTGAAATTGATATTTTGCGTATAAAGATAATATAAATTAGGGAAAATGGCACTTTTTTCCCCTGAGTTATATATTTATAGCATTTTTTCCCCCTCAATTATTTAAGTGGCTGTTTTTCCCCCTAAAATGTTAAATGGACATATTTACTCTTAAAATAAATATTTTTTCTATTCCAACAAATTATGACCATAATTTGGTTCAAACCAAATAAACACTATAGCAACCAAACCGAAATATTCCAATTACAATTTAGAATCAAAACTCGATATTTAGAGTTTATTAAAATCTCGGAACGGACGGTTCATGTGTCCGGACTGAAAAAATAAAATACATTTATTGTTGAATTTAGACTATTTTTAAAATAAAAATAAAATTTTAAAATAAAAACGGTTCAAAATCGCGAATCGGGTCCGGAACCGCCAGTTCACGGTTCAGGATCCAATTTTTTTGATTCATAATTTTAATAAATTGCAATCCAAATATTGGGTTCTAGATCTGAATCATAACCGGAAACTTTTAATTCGATTGCTATAGTGTCCGATTCAGTTCGAACCGAATCGTAGTCATCCTTACGTATACGCAATAATTTGTTGGAGAAATAAAATAAATAAAATGTTTATTTTAATTTAAGTGTATAAATGTCAATTTAATATATTAGGGGGAAAAACAACCACTTTTAGAATAATTGAAGGGGTTAATGTGCTTACCTAAATAATTGAGGAGGAAAAAGTGCTATAAGTATATAACTCAGGGGAAAAAGTGTCATTTTCCCTATAAATTATTTTTTATTATTAAATGCCTCTCAATCAAAAAAAAAAAAAAAAAAAATCATTAAATGGTTAAAGATTTTCTACTAAAATTAGTACGTAGTATTAATTAGATTCTTTACAGTGTCATGGATTTTATTAGATATTATTTTTAAATTCTAAAATAATTTTAAAAATTTTTATTGGTTGAGTTTGTGTCATATATTTATTAAAAGTTTTTCATAAAATTTTGAAAATGTTTAATTAAAAATTTATTTTATTTATTTTGAAACAAAATAAATTCTGTTATAAATAATATAAAAAAGGGTCACACTTGTGTGAGACCGTCTCACAGATAATGGGTCAGGTCAATATGTCAATGTAATACTTATAATAGCAAATGTAATATGGAGTACTAATTAAGAATAAAGTGCTTGTTATTTATAAGGAAAATATAATACTTTTGATGAAAAAAATTATACTTTTACATCAAAATGTAAGCGTATTATATTTGTCCTAAAAAATATTGTGCTTTCTCCTATAAGTAACAAACACTTTATTCCTAATTAGTATTACATTTTCTATTATAAATATTATATTATATTTCATCTTGACCCGACCCTTCTCATTGACAAGAATCTATGAGACGGTCTCACACAAGTTTTTACGATACCCTTGAAAAGTTTAAAGTAAACAACAAATTCAATGGGCTTAATAGTAGTAAATTTAAAACTAACTAATTTTGCAGATATTATTTGATTTTTAAGTCGCATAAAAATCTTTTTTTCTTTGAATGCTACTGGCTATTTTTTTTTTTTTTTTTTTTTTTTTGCAGTATCTGTTCAAACGTACTTTTTCAACCATAAAAAATCAACAACACCTCCACCAAGACTCAATCTCATGACTTCTCATATATATAAGAGATATGAGAAGCCACTACATGCTATCTGAGCACAGAGTGGTTAACAAATAATATGTAATCTTTTTTTGAATGCAAATAATAATATGTAATCTAATTAATCAATATATGTCAATACTTATTAACAATTAGATATGAATAAATAGATAACTGAAAAATAAATAGTAAAGTAATATCTTATTATTTAAATAATTATGGAAAGACTTTATATGGGACCAAAATAATAAATTGTACATGTCACAAATTCGATTCTTTCCAAATCTTATTGTCGAGATCGTCGCATAGGATCTTCTTAGTACGACTTATCTGTCATGTATAGTTTACAGAATATTACACATGAGTGGGATTTACCTAATGCACCTCTTCTGATAGTGACTACGGATTTCTTGTCATTCAATAATAATAATAATAATAATAATAATAATAATAATAACCAATTTATGATAGATGAATAAATGACAATTGGTCAAAATTGACCAAATACTCATAGTACTACAAACTCCAGTCAAATTTGGGCAGTGGGTTTAGCTTTAATTTATGGACCAGTGGGCAAACAATAACTATAGAATGAGAGAATACTAGCTTGGTACTGTGTTTGCAAATTGGGTATTAAATTTAGTACGTAAATTATTTATATTAAAGAAAATAATTAATCGAAAGTGGTAGTAATATATTTTTGTTTATTGGATATAGTAAGTAATCTGAATTTCAAATTAGACACTCATAAAAATGTTACAAGAGTTTGCTATTTATAGCTTGATTTATGTGAAAGGACACCGTCATTATTTGAATGTGTGCTCTGAATGAAGTATGTTTTGTTATCCTAGTTGGAAAAATGACCACAAGGAGGATAAGCTAATAAAAGGGCAAAATCATAAATATAGTAATCTAGGGGTTAAAATTGAAAAATCTTCAAAATGCGATAAAAATATTTATAGATAAAATATGAAATGGTTAGAATACATTACATATCGTCTCTATCAATACGATATTCATAAATAATTTTTATTTTAATTATATCAACTCTATGTATTTCTAGATTAATTTGAATATGATGATACACAATTGAAACTTTTATATATATATATATATATATATATATATATATATATATATATATATATATATATATATATATATATATATATATTAGTTTTGCACACGCATTGCGCGAATGAGTTAATGCTCAATGTTTATAATTCAATAAATATTTGAAAGTATATCAATACAAGATTATATATGAGAAGTTCATACATAAGTAATTTAATGTCGAATTTGTTTATTTAAATATGTAACTCATAGTATGTGGATATAATGTAATATATGAGGTTCATTATAATTGTTACTAAACTTTTTTTAAATAGTAACAAGTATTTTTGTTGCAAAGGGTTCTAATATATTTAATGAATGTACATATATACAATATCAACGAATGAATCAACGGTATTAGTCTTTTAGATATTTTGCTCAGTGTTCATTTAGTTCAACCATTATTGTTGAATAAATTATTATGGATAAAGAAATTCCTAATTTGAACAATTTAGATGTAGTAAAAATTTAAAAAATTTAATTGTAATGTAACTCAAAGATATTGGACGATATGATTGGTAAATCTTATGTAACTCAAAGATCAAAATGCTAAAGAAAGTGTTTGGTTATTCAATAGTTTGAAGCAACAATTTGTTCCAAACCACTGAAAATACAAACATTGCAACTTACAATATTTTCACTTAGCGTTTTTGAGAATGATTTCTCCAAAACACCTTTATATTTAAAATAATAATAATAATAATAATAATAATAATAATAATAATAATAATAATAATAATAATAATAATAATAAGTTTACTGTAGAGCTATTTTGACTCATTGAATAATAAGAGCCAGTTTCGCTGGCTCACTGCTTGTCCATCAACGGATGGGAAAACTTAATTTTTAAATTAGAGCCTTAAGGCTATTTTTATAGGAGCCTCAATGCTCCCATGCCACTTTTTCCACCGATGTGGGAAAAGTAACAAAACTAAGGGGAGCTGAACGTTCGGCTCCTCATATGTTTTATTTTTTTTTTTATTTTTTTAATTTTATTTCTTTTATTAAATTATTATTATTATTATTATTATTATTTAAAAATTATTATTATTATTATTATTATTATTATTATTATTATTATTATTATTATTATTATTATTATTATTATTATTATTATGTATACCCTTAGGTCATTTTACATGTTAATCTAAACAATTAATTTTTTCAAATATATTTTTACCAATTGTTGATATAATTCGCTGGTCAAATTCGCTAATATAATCCTCTAGCGCTAACCGCTAACTGCTGATTGTCAAACAAGGACATTGCGAGGTAGCTTCCCACTTCAATTTGTTGTGTAATTTGAATACTCTGTTTATCAACAAATCCCTCAAGTAGTTAATATGATTGACTTAATTATATTTTTTAAACTTTTTCATGGTATTAATAAAATACTTGGTAAATAAATATATAGCATTATTTTGTATTATAACTTTGATATTTAATTAAAAAAATAGTGCACACAAAAAGGATAATAGACAATGTAGTGAATATAATCAATTGATGAATTTAAATGTAAAGAATATTTTTTTTACATTGGAGAAAAATAAAGATAATATAACTAATGAAATTATTTCTCTTACTTAATTTATTGATAATGAATAATTTTTTTGAATAAAGACATTTTAGGGACAGTGTAGCGAATATAATCAATTGATGAATTTGAATGTAAAGAATTTTTATATTGGAAAAAAAAAAGTCAATATAACTACTAAAATTATTTCTCTTATTTAATTTATTGATAATGAATAATTTTTTTTAATTAATGCATTGTAGACACATAATTCTAAATTAAAGAAATGCATATGTATTATTTTTTGTTGTAGCTACTAAATTATTATTTAATTTAATAAAAGTAAAATAGAGTACTAATTATGTCAACTTTGACCGGGATGAGGTTCGAACCTAAGTCATTTCTTATTGAAATCAATGAGTAAGTTAACGGTGAACTAACAGAAATTAACGGAGAAGATAATATTTAACGAAAAAGTTAACGAATAATCATATAATTAGGGATAATTTAGGAAATCTCAAGAAAAAATTAAAATCTTGATCAATCTGAGGCATTCATTTGATTAAAAAATTTGACCGTCGTTTTTTCTACCCATTATAGACCTAACTCTCTTTGGCTCTTATTAGTGTGTATATTCTAGTTCTTTTACGCGCTTTGCGCGAATGGAATAATGCACAATGATTATTTTTAAATAAGTATTTCAAAGTATATCAATGCAATATTATATCGGGATGTTCATGCATAGGTAAATAAATATTGAATTTGTTTATTTAAATCGGTAATTTAAAGTATATAAATGCAAGATAATATATGAGAGATTGATTATATTGTCCTTAAAATAAATGTTTGCAACTTTGTAATAACGCTAGTCTAAATACTTAGTCTCAAAATGATAGTCTAAATAAATACTACTTTTGGTTTAAATTTCTCTAATTCCTCTTATTTCTCTTTTGGGTAGCATATTCATTGTCTTCATCTTCAGTACATGTCCTCTTTTTTTTTTATTAGTAGTGTGTCATGTGCAATTGGGTTACTGGTAGTAGCATAGATGGATTCGTCGTGCAATGAGATTATGGTGTAGGAAGCTTTAGATTTGCCTTATTGTGTATATGATGAGATCTTAGTTGTACTACTAACGCTTTATCGTACAAGTACTTATTGATATTTGATAGTGATAGTTTTTCTCCTACATGTTTCATGCGTTGTGAGATGTGTGTCGTAGATTATCATGTGAACGTATTGAACAAAATATTAATATTTATTATATTTGTATAAAATTCTTGGTAAATAAATATATATATCATGTTTTGTATTATAATTTTGATACTTAATTACAAGATAATGTAAAAAGAAGACAATGGACAATATAGTGAATATAATAAATTAATAAATTTGAAGGTAATAAATCTTTGAATTATAGAAAATAAAGATAATATAACTAATGAGATTATCTCTTTTAAAATTTTTTATAATGAACAGTTTTTTAAATAAAGACATTATAGACATCTAATTCTAAATTAATTAAATGCATATGTATTATTTTTTGTTATAACTACTAATTTATTTAATTTAATAAGTATAATAAATTGACGTACATACTTTTCATCAACAATAATGAAATCATTGATTTTTTAAAAAAATTTACATTCGTTGTTGAGACAAATTGTTTTGAGAGTTTGTCAATGACAATTGTTACAATTACTGTCAATAGAGGATGATAATAAATAATTCAAAATATATAGTTACAACAGATATTGTTATAACGATATAGTAAAATTAACTTACAAATTTCTTTTCAAGTTTTCATGCATTGATAAAATTCTGATGTGTAAACTTGTTCAATTGGAGTCAGTGGATGTCAACATTGTCAATTCTTTGGAAATGGTCCTACCGCTTTAGAGTTCAGGTGTAATTGTATTTATGATAACAACTTTGTAGTTAGGTCGCGCAGGTCTGACAATGATGTAAGAACAATTTTGTCTGATAAAAAAAATAATAGTATAATATTTGTAAAGTAATGTACAATTGTACCATTATAAAAATACATACAACAAATATTAATACCATAACGACCTAAATCATACCAATAATGTAAAAATATAATTGAAATATTAAGTTTTGTTCTGATCTAAATAATCAAAAGACAATTAATTAAACGGAAAAAAAAAAAAAAAAAAAAAAAAAAAAAAAAAAAAAAAAAAAAAAAAAACTTAACCTAAAAATCAAATGCATAAAAATAAAATAATTTCTAAAGTTCTTGATTTATAATCTTTGATGCTTAACTTTGAATGTTATGTATTTAGTCGGACTAATTATTTGGCCAAAGTTTATGTTAAATTATATATATATATATATATATATATATATATATATATATATATATATATATATATATATATATATATATATATATATATATATAAAATACATTTTAACATATCCGTAGTATATGTTTAACAATTATTCTAACTCTAATTGTGATGGGGTTTGAACCTAAGACATTTCTTATAGAAATTAATAAGTTAAAAATATTAAATAGTTAACGGAATATTCCGTTACTAAAGTTTATACTAACAGAATTTAGGTTATTTAAGGGAAGAAAATAATATAATAGAGGGTAAATAAGGAATATCATTAAAAAAATACTAAAATCAAAATAATATGAACCATTCATTTTAAGAAAACAATAGTACCGACATTTTTTTTGTTCCAGTTAAAGGCCTAACATTATTGACTTTTATTAGAATTGTAAATTATTGGAATTGTAGATGTGTGTGTGTGTGTGTGTATATATATATATATATATATATATATATATATATATATATATATATATATATATATATATATATATATATATATATATATATATATATATATATATATATTGGTTCTTGTGATGTCAGGTCTTCCCGTGCGGTCAGTGCGGCATACACCATTAGGTATGCATAAATTCACCATACAGTGTTCGAAAATACACCAGAATGAAATGCCAAAAAAGACACCACACAAAAAAAATACACCACACATAATGGTGTATTTACGAACACTGTGTGGTGCAATATTTATGCATACCTAATGGTGTATGTCGCATTGACCGCACGGAAAAACTTAACCTCACAGGAACCTGACCCTATATAGATATATTTACTAGATAGTTTATAAAAATTGTATTTTCTTTTAAAAAAAATCATAATTAAATTACAAAAAATATTTCATATCATTTAAATAATTAAAAAATTCACAAATAAAA